TCCAGATTTCCTAGCTGGAACATATTTTCTGGAAGTTTTCTCTGCCTCTAACTGAAAATGTGTAATTTGTGTTCCATTTATTAAAAAAAAAAAAGAGCAAGAGCAAGGAGCGGCACCTGAGGAGACAAAGGAAGATGTAGGTGCTTCCTCCTGGGAGGAGCCATATAGCCTGCAGAGGAGAAAGTGAAGAACAGAACTTTGTGATGTGTTACGTGCTGGTAATTTTTAGTGGAATCGCTGCAAGAACTAAGTGAAGTTGTGCTTGATCTGTCGTGGCAAGGATGTGAGCACACATAGGATTGTGTAGAGGAAACTGGTGTGAGTGTGGCTGGGGATAGGTTGTCAGATGCCTGAAATTACCAGAAAGACTTTGCATGAGCTTCTTTGAAGTGCGTCTGATTAAAAATAGGGTTTACCAGTTGTTGTAAACTCACTTAGAGCTGGTCTCTGGCATGTGGATTTGGGTTGTGTGTATGTTTTCTTTGTACTTGGAAATCACTTGGTGGATTTGGTGCTATATGACCTGGCTAGTGAGACTGTGGTCTATGATTTTGGTTTTGGATCATCATTGGTCAAATAGATTAGTAGGGTTTTTTGTCTCCTACAGCAAAAAGGGACCTATGCCACTTCTTTCTTCCTGTCCTGTGAGTTTAGACGGATTCCGAATGAGATGAGGTTATTGAAGTAATGTTATTTATTGACTAACAAGGTACCAAAGTCCACAAGGAGGTGGTGAGCGAAGCAGAGCTGTACTTTGACATTTACTGGATTGGGCCCTAAAGACTTGCATCCTTGTAGCAAGTCCATTAGCTTGTGTTTGTGTATGTCACTGCCCTGTGTTTGACAACACGCAAATGGATGGAGTGGTTCCAAGACCCCTTCCTCTAATGGAGAAGGATAATTAGCTCTGCTGTACTGAGTTAAAGCTGCTTGGTTAAAGGTCACAGGCTTAATTCCTAAAATAAATTCTTGCCTCTTTAGATGAGGAAAAAAGACAGCTTCTGGAGAGTGACCAAGACTGCTCCCATCATTGAGAATATTAACAGTGTTAGTCTTGTAGGTGTGTTGATTACAAATGTCATTGGAGCCCACAGTCTGCATCTCCTCTTTAGTGTGACTCACAGATTCCCATGTGCAGGAAAGGCTTAGCTTTTTCAGCAGGAGTCACTTCCTGTCCGTCTTCTAACAAGGAGACCTTCCTCTCCCTATTCCTTCTCTGAGGCTTTTGAGGCTTTGTAGTCTCTAGTATGAAACTTGCATTTTCAATGTACTTTGGAACCATGCTATTGGATGAGATCTAGAGCCTTCCTTAATTAGTTCTCTTTGCTCTTCTAATGAAAGTATCCAGTTCTTTGCTAGTAAGAAATGCAAATGTTCATGAGAGGCAAGAGGCTGCTGTGTGCTGTGTTTCCATTTTCATTTTGGGTAGGTCTGGGAACTGGCTAGCAGCAAGTAAAGATTATGAAACCGAGAAGGGTTTTGACAGTTTAGGATTAGTAGGGAAGGGGATAACAAACACTCTATCTGCTCTATATAGAATTTGTTGCAAATTTCAAGTTTGATTTTTGTAAAGAAAATGCTAAAATCATACAACACAGTCAGTATAAGCCTGAAATAAATTATTTGGGATTAATAAGTCTCCTTACATGCATAAGAAATATTCAGTGACATCACTCGGCAAAAATGCAGAGCTCTCCTGCATGTGCAGCCCTCGTTCAAGCTGTAAGGGGTGGGTGAGGAAAAGCTGACAAATGTAAAGTGTTCCTTTTAAGTGGGATGACTGTGTTCTGGGTGTAAGGTGAGTACCTCAGGCTGCCAGAAAGACATCTAATGTCCTCTTTTTTTGACTCTCTTTTCTCCTTTTCCCCCTTACATGTTTCACTGAATCATGTGCCAGAGGAGACCATCTCATGCCAGTTTATTCTGTGCATGTTCTGTCCCTTTGGAAAAAGAATGCTGTATCACACCCTAAGGTGTGGGCTCACCCCCTTCTTCCATAGTCCTGAAGCACACTTCTTTCATTTTGTACTTGCTTTGGATGTGAAGTAACATGCCTGGGCGTGAAAGTTATCTCAGATGGAATTGCCCGGTGAATGGAGTTGCATTCTTTAAAATGAACAGCATGTCACAGTGAACCGCAGCAGAATTGAAAAGCAAATCCCAAATTCAAATGCTTTAAAGTTGGGTGTTTTTATTTCCCATTTGGTAGCACTTTGATCTTTTTTCTATTGATCTGCTTCCTGATCAAGCTGTTCAGGCTGAAGTGATGATTTAGGTTCTGTATGTTTGATCTGCAGTGTCAGTGTATCTGTTCTGGAAGGATATCAGAGCTTGTGTGAGTTCTGGTGGCTGGCACATGATACCTCCCTGAACACAAAAGCAGGTCTTTGGGGTTAAACTTGAAATACTACAGTGATTGTAAAATGGGTAAAGGGTTGTTAATGGTGTACACAGCTTTTTTTTTTTTTGTCTGTAAGTGATATCTATCCTGCCTCCAGGGGTTTAAGTCCTGTTTTTTAAGGGAATACAGAACCTCATACAATAGTACTTACGTAGGGCTCTTAAATCAGCAGTCAGTTTAAATCTTGTTCTTGCAGTCTGAACTGATGCAGTTGCTCTCTTTTGGCCATTTTGTGACTCTTGTCAGTGAGCAGTGCTGCTCTCTGAGGGCAGAGTGATTCCTACCAAACAGGAGAAACACTTTCAAAGAACATAACTGATATAAGTCATCATACACAGTCCTCACAAAAGATTTTCCAGGGAAGCCAACTGAGCTGCTGTCATTGACTTCAATGTCTGGCCCCAGAGTCTTGCTCTGAGATTCCAGTTTGAATCCTGCAGTATTGTTAAGGATTGTGTGGTTTTCTGCTGGCTGCCTAGGGTTTATAGGGACATTCAGCTTGGTGTTTTGGGGAGAGGGGCTGGGCTCTAAAAGGTGGGACTGAGTGAAGAAAGAACATCTTTTGCGTGAAAACAGAAGAGAGATCAGCTGAGTTACAGCATCACTTCCAGATTAGGAAAAAGAACAAAGAACGTGAGTTTGACATGACTCAAGACACTAAAATATTGTGAGCCACATCCTCATCCAAAGTAAAGTACTGCAGCTCATCTGCTTTCACTGAAATGATGTCAGTATATACCAGCAGGAGCATCTGTGCCCAGTCTTCCTCACTCTCATGGATATGTTCTTTGGTGTATAATGAGTCACAGTGATTGAACTTCCTACAAAGGAAATGACCTCTCAAAAAACCCCTAAAGCAAAGAGGTGAGAGGGCCTGGCAAAACACCTACCAACCAGTTCAACTATCTGAATGGGAAATGGGGAGATCTTGTCTCATGTTAAAAAACAATTTCATCTGTCCTTTGAGCTGTGGCTTCCAGGATTAATGTCAGGGTTAAACATTTAATGCCCACATTCCAGCAATGGCACTTTGTGGCTAAAGGCTATAAAATTGTGGTTAGGAGAAGCAGTGCCCAGCTGACCAAAGCAGAGGATAACTCACCTGCTGTAGGGCCCTGCCTCTCCTCTGATCAAGGACTGGCTAAGGGAAATGCCCTTGAGTGCAGTTTGGGTTTTTTCAGTGGACAGGGTTGACTTAACTCCTGAGAGAGCTTCTAATGTCTAGTCCTGTATTCTTTTAACTAATTCTGTATGTGTTAGACAGTGATGGAGGGATACAGTAATGGAGGGAGATGATAGCATGTGCAAGGATGTATATCCAGATATATCCAGCATCTCTGATAACCTGTCACCTCCCTCCCATTTCAATCCAGCCGGTTTGTGAAATCTGTCCTAAACTTGTAATTTTGGTTTTGGTGACTGTGGATGTGCTTTGTGATAAACATGTTCTTCACCAAATGAATTTCACACTCTCATGTGCCCAAAATTGTTTGAGCCATAGGATACCCTTTGAGATATTTCGGGTTTAAATGTGGAAAGAGGTGATTTTTACCAATACTGAATTTCTACAGGATTAATGTTGCTAAGCACTAGTATCCCATACATGAAGCTGCTGTACATTTGGCTCCATGCACTGGTATTACTTCTTTGACTGATGTGCTCAGAGGAGGTTTTGACAAGATGAGAATGGAGAAGGTGGGGTTTGGTGAAAAGAGAGTTATGAAGAGAAAATGACTTCCCAAAGAAGTTGAATGAGGACTGGGGACAGGAAGAGATGTACAGCTTCAGACTGGCAAATGCTCTAGCAGGGACACTGAAATAGCTCAAGCCCCCTCTATTTCTACTCTCTGTAAAGGAATAGTGATGCCTCATTGCCCTCTCTCTTTTAAAATAATGTCAAACTGGCTCCGTGCTTTCACAACAAAACATGTTAGGGCAATGTTTCAGAGCTCAACTTGTAATTACAAACTTAAGGAGACTCCCAAAGATTCAAACAGTTACCAGCACAAGGTAGGATCCTGGGTTTCTGTCTTGTCTGATTGCTGTTTTGGAGGGAGCCTTTGACCTTTCTCTGAGGAAGGTATCCACCTGAAGGTGTTGGAAAGGTGAGTCTTCAGTATCCAGTGGGCAGGAGATGGGTAAGAAAAGGGAAGGAGAAAGTGTGGAGACAGCTGACAGCATGTAAGAGGAGAAGAGAGCTTTAAAGAGCAAGAGACATGACTGAATCACCAAGCTGATATCACAGCAGATAGTTCTCAAAGCTGTCCTTTGGGAATATAGCTGATACATTCACTTATTATGGAGAATGTTTGATTTAAATGTGTGTGTATATATATATATATAGATATTATACCCAACATGAGTAGTTTGGCTACTGGAGAAGTTGCTGCTTTCAAAAGCATAATTTTCTACGATTATAGAAAATACTGGGATGAAGGAAAGAAGAGTTGGTGCCTTCTACGTGAGGGGCTCTTGGGTATAGGCAACTGCTGAGGTCAGGCCTGTGTATAGCATCTTGCTAAGTTCTAGTAAGTATTGTATAATAAACACTTAAAGCAGCTTCCACTATGTAAAGACAATTGTTGTCTTCAGGTTTGCAACACACAAGAGCCTCTGGGAGATGTGCTGAAGACTTGTGACTGCCTTGCTTCTGGGAAGGGCCATTACATCCCTTCTATCAAGGCCGAGCTCAGCAGTTGTTCTTTCTCCACACTGATACCATAAATTCTATTCTTCAATGCATGGAATATGTGTCAGCAGGATTAAACCAGGAGAGTCTCCTGAATGTGGAATTCTGGAGAAGGCCCTTGCTGTGAGTTCTGAAGTAAGCCAGCCGCATCCTCAAACTGTGGCTTTGTCTCAGACACTCTTATTACTGGACTGAATCTTTCTGCAGATAACCTGTTCTGAAGTACTTTGACTTGGAGCAAGCAGCATAGCTGGGCTGCTCTGAAAGCTTGAGATGGCTCTGACTTCTCCAAAATCTGTAGCAGGGGATTTGGCACATAGAGAAGAACTCATGCTCCACGATGGAAACTGTCTCCATTTCCTGTCTGCAAATGTCATCTCAATAGGTAAGTGAAAGGCTACCATCTTTTTCTCCCAGCTTATTTTTATTGCACTGAGATTTCATATGGGACTTCTAGTTTTCCTTAAGTTTGTTTGAGTGAATTGTGCTTGTATATTCCTGAGTCCTTTTCATCTGTGTAGTTGCCATGATGACTAGAGTTTGGGTGAAGTGTATGATGTAAGGTCTATGTGTTCAAAAAGTAATATATTTCCAGTCTAAGCAGGTTTCCAGGTATAAAACCAAGCAGCTGTACGTAGAAACCGTGCTTCTCCTGCTTTTAGATTTTTCATGTCCAAATGCAGTGGGAACCCAATATTAGACTGTTTGTTTATTCCTGTCTGTTCTTGACCCCAACAGGCAATGGGTATCTGGTTTAGTTTGAAAGTGTGGTTAATAGAAGTTAACACTGTTCTGAAAGAATGCAAGCCTGCATGTTTTAAACTTGACCACTGTGTTTTTAGCTGCCTCACAATGCTGGTTAGCAGAGATGTTTTCCTCTGAGGTGAATTAACTTGAATATTTTCAGTGGATAGCAGTTTGGTGTCTTGCAGCTCCCTTTGCAATTAATATAGACTGGAAACAATACATGTAAAAATTAAGCTGATAAGACATATAAACACAGATGAAAGAGAAAAAGAATAGAAGTCTGAAAGTCTTGGTGTTTTGAGGTGGGCACTGGAATTTAAAAGGAATGTGTCTGAGTAGTCTTTTCAAGACAGGTAGGCAGAAGACGGCCAGAAGTGTAGGTATGAATGTAGGCAGAAATGAGATCTGCCATTTATTAAATTATTCTCAATCTTATCCCAGTTAAGCTTTATTTTTCGGGTTTAATTCAGAAGCTAGGAGAGATCAGGACTGTCTAGCAGGAGGAAAGAGGTACAGATTTTCATATGTCTCATTACAAGTTTTATTTCCATAGATCTCTGAAGCACCTTGTGCTGGTCATTGAACCTAAAATAGGGGAAGTCTTTAGATTGAAATGATGTTCTGAAGTGGATTTGAGAGGAAAGAGGATTATAGGAGAAGGGACAACTTGTAAGAAATACAGCATTTGGTCTGTGCAGCCTTCCTAGAGCAAATGTGTGTGTTTGCTGCATTGCTCTTCGGAAGGAGCGAGGTCTGCTGAATCTTTATGAGACTGACAATTCTTTTTCTTGTCAGAGCAATTCATCCTAATAAGAAAGTGCTGGTGGTAGCTTTGTGTCTCGGCATTCTCTTTTGTGGGTGATTCTGCTGCAGTTGCCCATCAACTGCTCTTTGGCTTTCACCCAGATTCCTTTGTTCAGCAGCACCAAGTGCTCCGAAATACTTTATTGTTTAATCTTGACCAGATATAGTCTAGTGGGAAAGCGAAATGCTGGGAAGACTGGGAGGGATCCTTGCAGTGGTATGGAGCTATGGAGGCCGTATGAGCAGCAGGAAGACCCGACCTCTTTCTCAAAGCAGAACATTTTAGGCCACATATTTTAAAAATTGAAGTTCCTAGGATAGGATGAGATTGTCCTCGATTCTTTCAAGTGCTTCTGGAAAATCTTGTAGTTGATGAGCCCGTGATTTATAGTGCCTCAGGTTGTGGCTCTGTGCCATGGTGTTGTCTGGATGGAGCCGAGGGATCCAGAGCTCACAGAATTACTATTGTTGTCTGTTGCTCTTTTCTGAGTGTTGACAGCTTGTGCAGAGGAGAATGAGCTCTTCTCTCAGGAAGCTCTGGAGATTACAGATGTGATTTTGCACATCAGGTGTTGACTAGAGATTGGGTGGGAGGAAGGGAATTGTGTAACTGATGTCTGTGGCAGATGAATTTGTGCTACAGGAGGGATCTGGGGGAGGAGGAGCTGGTTGGTTACATCTAAAGTAAAATTAAAAAGTTGATTTAGCCCAAGATTGTAATTGGAACTTTATGTATTCAACATAGGACTCATTTGCTTGAGATACGTTCTCCTTTACTGCCTATCGTCATGAAGCAGATAACACTCACAGTTTTGGCTGGGCTCTCATATGAACTAATTTGATCATTTTGGCCAAATCTCCAGGAAATCAGTTTGGCTTTTTTCTGGGTTACAATTTGGGCTGATGTGTGTGTATTTTTTTACTAGCATTAATGGGACTGAATATATTTGTATTGTAGTTGTATTAAAAATGGCTCGTCAGTGAAAGTATAACCCATAGTTATATTTTATGCTTATATTTTATATAATTAATAGAGAAGTATTTACAAGCTATGTCCCTGCTCCTCACCTGCAGAATCAACAATGAGCTCTATTTTTTTTTTCCCCAGCTCTTTCTCATAAATTGGCATGCAGGGGTTGACAAAGAAAAGTCCAGGAGTTTAGAGGTGACTTAAGTGTATTACATCATTTGTGTGTGTTCTGGCACTGCAAAAGTAAGATGCTGTGTTCTGGTTAGTGATAGATGATACAAACTGACTTTTAGAGCACTGCTTTTTATTTGCAAGATGAACTGTAATTTGTTGCGTCCTGAGCAAGCATTGTCCATTATATACTCCTGTACATAAAGCTCTGTCAGAGTGTGTGCGTAGGACAAAGTGGTAGGAAATAGCTGGAGGGAGAAGAAGTCTTCATTGTGCCTGTGCAGCACTTCCAGCATTCCAGTGTGAGTGGGCCTGCCCCTAAAAAAAAGCTGGTCTGCAGCTCAGGAATCCCTTTGCAGACTTGTGCACAACACCCACTTGCATTTGTTCTTAACTTCCTCCATTAACTCCTTCCATGACTCAGTGTAAATGCTGTGCAGTGACTGACAGCTCTTTCCTTGTTTTGCCTTTGTATTATAATAAATACTAAGCAACCTGCACAGAAGAGATCACAGTGCTGTTGAGTCTTGTCTTGAGTACCCCTTGCTCTCAAGGATGACACTTCAGCTTTATCAAACCTATGCTGTCAAATGTAACATTCCTGCTGTCTCATTTGGGTGACTATATCTGCAGGAAAATTTAAGACAGGATTGAGCTAGAGAGTGGTATCACTAGTTGGATTAAAACCATGCAGTTAAATAAATCTTCCTTAATTCATTATTTGGTCCCATTGTATCATAGCTACTTACAATCTACTTTTGTACCATACTTACTCATCTTAGCTTGGAACTCTCGGTGCTCTTCTGCAGCTCTCAGATTTGTTTCATCAGTTGAGACACAGTTTTCAGAACTTGCTGGTTTTGGAATAAAACATCTGCTTTTCTGTGTAGGCTCTGTATGGATGAGGAATGTGATTGCTATGTGCAAAGGGAATCTGAGTGGAATGCAGTTAACTTTTACATAATTTTGCTGTATAATGTGATTAAATGTTATTACAGCAGCATTGGGGAAGTCCAAAATCAAGGAAGTATATAGCAAATTTGGTAATTCTCTAGTTTTCAAATAGGTTCTGGCATGTCTAGACTCACTTTTCCCTTGTAATCTGATGAAAGTGTTGTGCACAGACATGCAAAATCCTGTTTGCTTAGATATATCATGCATCAGATTAGCCTGGAGAAGTGCTTAGGATGGCCTTCAGGATGTGGCTCCAGTGTGCTGCCTGGCTGCAGGAGCAGTGATTCTGTCCTGGCAGGGCCATGGAATACCTGATCTTTAAAGGTCCCTTCCAGCCCGACCCAGTCTGTGGTGCAGGTTTAGCTGGAGAGCAGGCACACAAGTGCTGTTATGTGAATTGGTATCAGCTGTCTGAAAGTACTTGAATTCAGGCTGAGTTTGTGTGAAACTGGCCATCATTATCAGTGAAATGTGAACTGGTGGTGTGGTTCTGCTGGTTCTGTGTGTGTCAGCAAATCTGTGCCCTGGATGTAAGATAAGGATTCCTTTGGAAGTAAACTTGTGTGTATCCGAGGGACGGAATTTTTCCTAGAACACATAAATTTAAAGAAGGGGTGTAAACAGGGGGGCTCAGAAGTGGTTCTGTGTGTCCTGTACTGGATGAGTTTTCTATTGAGGCTTCTGAGCAAGTGACAAGTTAACAGGATTCGCCTCATTTGCAGAAGAGGTGAGAACATTCAGATGTTCATTAGTGTTGGAGACCTGTGATGCAACTGGTACATGTATCTGCAGCTGTGAGGTTTAGCATTCTGTTCAGACCTTGGCACATGAGAGTAGGTGTCATAGATTAGACAACATAATAATAATATTAGATTCAAAACAGCAGAGCTAAATAGATTGGGATGTTTTTCCATGTTATTGCTCGAGCCAATTTCAGCCTAGAATTTCTCTGAGTTTAGGCTTTTACTGCTTCCTCCTGCAGATTCAGAATGTGACAGGCAACCTCTAGCCAGACTTCCTGGGATTTAAAACAAGGTTTGCTCTATTTGTCGGTGCATACCTGCAGATAAGCACCCAAACATTTAGGTGGGTGTTTTGCCTGAGAAATCACAAACAGATGTATCTTTTCCTCAGGTGGTGCTGCTCAGGAGTGGATCAGTGAAATGGAGTAACTTTTCAGCTTGTGGAAAGGGCTGTTTTCTGTTGTCCAGGCTCATTTAGCGTTCTTTAGTACTGATAAAGTCTTAGAAGAAAAGCAATAGGGAAGAATTTGGCCTTTGAGCTGGGTTATCTCGCATTAAGACAGGCAAAATTGTAAGAAATTATGCCATTTATGTAGTGTAGTTTATGTTGTAAAGGAGAAAGGATCTTGGATTACTTGGTAAGAGCAACTTCAGTCTTCAGGTCGTTGTGCAATGCAGCAGGTAATAGCTGCTTGTAGCTTGACACTAGAGGGCAGCGGTGTTCTTAATGTCATCTGTAAGTGTGATTAATATATTCCTTTTCTCTGGCTGAGGAATGTATATTTCCTTTCTTAAGGATATTAGTTTGAATCAAACAAGCTTTTCAAGCATTGCCATTTATCCCAAATGGATTCAAGGGGCAGTAAAAACCTGTCAAGTTTTCTAGATTCGTTTCCTTGTTTGGTTGGGTGGGTTTTTGCCTGTTTTTTAGTGAAGTCTCTTGCCATGGCATTCTTGGAGGTGCTGTGCCAAGATGCCTGAAGGTGCTTAGTCTCC